TATATTGTAAAGTAAACTGTAAGATATTGTAAGATAGATGAAAAAAGGATCGCCCATAGGAATCGGCGGGGGTAGAGGGGAAGGCCTCTTATACTATTGCGTTGGACTGTTTTTAAGATACATATACATATACGTGGCTGATATTTTCTTCGCCAGTAATAAACTACAAACGGATAATGCTATTTGATTAGAAATGGTAGAAATTTTGTTTCTCACATCTTAAATTATTCCATATTAGAGAAGGGAAACTACCGATGGAATTTTACCTCTTCTTTTGACATGAGTAACTAACTTTCGGCTAAAAAACTTCCAAATTAATAAATATTTAAATAAAATTACCTGGATTACTTACAACTTTTTAAATCGCACTTTATAATTCTTCACACAAAATATAAACGATTCTGTGTAAAAACTGTTTATTTGTTCTATTTTAGCTAAGTGCCGATTGGAAAAATAGTTACTTAATTACAAATAAACGAAAGACTTACAAATTTGTTCAATCACACTCTAATTGACTTCATACAAAATACAAACGATTGCATATACATAATAGTTATTGTATTTAAAAATACGTTTACTTCCAGCCAAGTGTAAGTGAATGGGATAGTCTTTATGGGAAAACTGTACGCTTTCCCATAAAACCTGTAGCAAGGCATTTTCATATTAAAAGTTTCGTTTTAAAATGATACAAAGTATAAGTCATTAAAATATTTATTGCCAGTTAGAGACACCACGTACATAATTAATAATTATATTAATAAAATAATTATTTATTTATAATATATCTTGTATTTATTACGTTTTATTTATATTTCAATTTTTGTGACCGCTGATAATGACAAATGTTACTATTACACTGTAAGCGTTACCTACAAAATAGTTTTGTAGGCAAATAGAGTCTTACCTTTACCTTCACCTATGTTCATAAACCGTTATTTGCTTCAAAGGCTTGTATTCGTTTCACGGACAGGAACAAATCTTACACGAATTGGAGAAGCAGAACGAAGAACAAAATCAACGTGAATTTGAATATTCTTTAAATAATCAATAGGCTCGACGTAGAAATTATGTATTAGAGAAGCTATCATAGCCTTCATTTCCAGCATAGCAAATCGTTGGCCTGTAATTTTGTATGTGTACTAATCTCTTCATATAACGTGTTATTATATGACAGAATATAAAAAAATATAATTTACCGATACAGTTACGTGGTCCCGCACTGAATGGTATGTATGAATAAGGATGACGATTTCGGATTTTCTCGGACAAAAATCTATCGGGATCGAATACTTCTGGGTTTGGCCAAAAATTAGGATCTCTGTGGACTCCGTAAATGTCAAGATGCAGGAATGTTCCAGCAGGTACTAAATATGAGGCTGAAAACCATATTACACAATAAGATTCACAAAGTTAAAGAATAAACCTATAACATAATATGGAAATAGATGATATTGCTACACAATAAAAAATAATGTAATTAATTGACTAATAAATAATAAACATTCTTAAGCATTATTTGCTTAATATTAATTTTAAAAAATTTGTGTGTTGTATTGTATGTATTTAACTTTATGTAAAATGTTTTCGAAATATTATATAAATAGATTTAGTAATAAAAATTTAGATATTCTAGAACCTTTACAATAGAAATTTCTGTATTTTATATATATTTAGTTCACACAGTTGACGATATTGTGTAAAGCATAAAAAAATGTATACAGTAAAAAATTGGTTATATACATACATAATTTTACATCTTCCCCAGTGTTTCGTGATATCAGATACACACTGGGATATAAGCGTAATGATTCCTTTATGCATCTCTCTAAATATGGTAATTCTTGCAATAATTTCGTAGTAAATTTCTCCCCATTCTTTTGCAAAGCGGTATCGACTTCGCTCCTGACACGATTCTACACCATCACTTAATTAATTCGTTTGAAATATACGTACACGAAATACATTTAAAACTTTTCAAAAGAAGAGTTGAAATGTATGGGCGAGTATGTCGTGTGGATATGTACACGAGCGTATATATGTATATGCGCATGCGAACAGATTTTCTACCTATCTATTGATGCGGAAACACAAATTGAATACAATACATACATGTGCACACTTAACAGACGATTAAGAAATTTTAAACAGATACGTCTTTAATAAATAACCGTAGGAATTATTAGTTTTGAAAGATGACGTTTCACACATTTGATAAATACCTGAATATCCTTATGCTCAGCTAATAATGCTAGAGTGAAACACAAACTAGTTGCTGTAGTATCATGACCCTATAATCACATTTTGTACGTTAATGTATAAATCGATAAACTATTATATTGTGAATTTTGATGTACCAAATAATATTTAAGAAAGTTACAAGCAATATTACATGTATATGTATACCTCAAACATAAAAGTATCGACCTCTTCTCTGATATCGAGGTCAGTCATAAGACCATCACGAGATGCTGCTAGTAGTATATCCAACATTGCAAACCTCTTTTTTCGAACTGAATGAAATATATCTCGTTAGTTAAATGTCCTAATTCTTCCGTAACAGTTTTGTTATATCATATTGACTAGGTTGAAAAGTTAAGTTATATTTAGATTTTAAACTATATTAAAATATAATTTATGATGTTACACCCTAAACAGATTTAAAGAATATAACTATATGATTACGTTACATACTTCCTATCACTTCTGTGTCATTATCCTCTGCCGAAGTGTCATTACCAGAAGTTGGTAAATATCGACCCTTAGTGCGATCATGATAAAGTTTTCTTTCAGCAATAACCTAAATATGTAAATACAACATTATAAAGTTTCTTCTATGATTTTTATATAATACATATCAGTGACGTGTTGTCAACAATTATGAGTGATCTCATATCTCCTCTATATTAACATGGAACTTTTATTTTAACATTTGAAAGTAGATAACGTTCGAACATAATAAAAAGTAAGATTTATTTAATCTTAACTGACTAATGTTTAATACAAAAAAATTATATAACGCGACGTTTCGACCTTAAGGTTTAGGTCCTTTTCAAGGAAAATCTAAAAGAACATCCGATAATCGGGATTACAAATCTAATAAACGAGTACAGACCCCCCAAATGACAAAATAATCTCAATGTGTATAATGCAATAGTAAAAATGTAATATTAAGTAACATTTTGACGTACCCGTTCAGAAAATCCATGTAACGTTCTCAGAACCTTCTTTTGCTCTCTGCCTTTTGTCGTCATCGAGAACATCCAATCGTTATGCAGCCATTGCCTCATTATTCTAAATCAAAATTAACGATAAAGTAAATTATTTCAAGATATTAAATTTGTAAACTTTTCTTTAATTGTCTGTAAACGTTTACAATAATATTTTAGTAACAATATAAAAAAATGTACGACAATAATGAAATAATGCTAAAGCTATCTGTAGAATTTTATATAATATAAACATTATATTTTAGCTAGCTAGCTAAAATAGCTATTGACAAACTCTCTATGACAAACCTCTATGAGGAAGCCATAACAATGGAAGCAATGTGCAAATTTCTAATTAGAAAAAAAGTAAAGTAAAGTGTGCAAATTAGAAATTTGCACATGGCTTCCTCATGGAGGAAGCTTTATGAGCGAAATAAGAATATGCAAATTTCTAATTTGAATACTTTCAAGAAACATCGTAGTAAAGTTAGATTTCTCTCTTAAAGCTTCCTCTATGAGGAAGCCATAACAATGGAAGCAATGTGCAAATTTTTAATTTGCCTACTTTAATGATGAGGAAGAAATGTGCAAATTTCCAATTTGCACGCTTCAATGCTGAAGAAGCAATGTGCAAATTTCTAATTTGCACACTTTCAAGAAACATCGAAAAAAATTAGATTTCGCTCATAAAGCTTCCTCCATGAGGAAACCATGTGCAAATTTC